CCACTCCCAACAGAAATACTCCAGGTGGACACCTTCAGCAATCAGGAGCTCCTCAGTTGCTCATAGCAAATCCTACCTTGGAGTTTACAAAGACTTATGGGTAAAAAAGCCACACAAAGTAATTTACTACAGTACAGCATGTCTCTTTCAGCAGCATGTCTTCCTCAACCAGCAGTCAGAGAGAGACTTCTTCTTCCTCTAGGAGGCCTCCTTTTGAGCCTGGTAGAGTGGCCAAACTAACCAACCATAACATCAGAATTCTAAGCACCTGAGAGAGAGCAGGAACTTCCCAGAACATTGCTTTGTGTTGCGCCCAACAGAAATACCCCAGGTGGATAACTCACAACCAGGAGCTCTCAGTTGCTTACAGCAAATTTCACCACAGAGTTTACAAAGACTTATGGCTAGAAAAGCCATACCAAGTAATTTACTTCACCACACTTGGTAAAGTGGAGGGTCAATGAATAAGGGGAAGACCCTCAATGAGATGGATTGACACAGTGGCTGGAACAATGGGCTCAAGTACACCAAGGATTGTGAGGATGGCGCACAACCGGGCAGTGTTTTGTCAGAGCTGATTCAACAGCCCCTAACAACAATATTCCACCTGAATTTAGAGACCATCTGAAGAACAGATTTGATGGATTGAACACTAGTGACCGAAGACCAAATGAGTGGTGGGATGACATCAAGAAAATCATCCATGAAGAAAGCAAAAGGTCATTAAAAAGAAAGGAAAGGAAGAAAAGACCAAAATCGATGTCAAAAGAAACCCTGAGACTTTCTCTTGAAAGGAGAGTAGCTAAAGTGAATGGAAGAAAAAGGGAAAAACATCCAGCAAGAGGGTGGAATAGGCAGACAAGCTACACAGACCCTCTTCAATAAAGAAAAGAGAAACTAATTGACAAAGATACAGAAGATAATCCTGCAACACTGAACTTTGAAAGAAAAGAGAAAGAAGTAGATTAAATACCAACTAGTAGAAAAACCTGAATGAAACAGTGAGTAAGGAGACAGATGGAGCTGCAGACTGTCGGCTATCCGGATGGCATGGCCAGTTTGAATATTTACAAGTGGCATTAGTATCTGGGCAGTAACCTAAGAATCAGCCCTGCTCACCAAGGACTGCATGGGCAACTGCACTGGTGGCTGATGACTAGAAAGGAAAACAGTAAATAAGAAGACAAACTGAGCTGTGGACTTTCTGAGAGCACAACCATTTTGAATATTTACAAGCAGTGAGGCCATTTTGGATAGCTTCAAGTGACGGTATTCTGAAACCAGTGAACTAAGCATAGGTTCCACTTGCTGAGGACAGCACGGGCAACCACACTGGAGGCTGATGACTGGAAAGGTGAAATATTTTCCTTGTTACTCTTACACTCCACACCCTCTTGGTGGATGGAGGTGTGGCCATTCCCTACCTACACCTACCTTCTAGACTGGCAGGAATTCCATCCCAGTCTGTGTGCCCTGATGGAGCCTGAGTGCCCTGCCCCGCCCCACCCCACCCCCAGTTTTGTTTTTGTCTGTTTTTTTTTCTTCATTTTTATTTATTTATTACCATCTTTTTTCTTTCTTTTGATTCTTCCCATCCCTTGTTTTTCTTTTTGCAGTTTTCTCATTTTTTCTTTATTATTATTTTACTCTTACTCTTTTCTCTTATTCCCCTTCCCCCAGATAAGACAGGGGTTAGTGTCCCCCTTTTGCCAGAAAATGGAACAGAAAAAAGATTCACTTAAAGGACAGAATCTACTTCAATGATTCCATTTATTTAGAACTAAATAGATATTGCTTCCAGCCATTCCTCGGAAGGAAGGTTGGGCAATCTACTTCCCTGGTGATACTACCTTGGAAACCCAAGGAGGGGGCGCTATGAGTTGGGTCTGACTGGACGGCACAGAAGAACAACAACAACAGATATTGCTGCTGTTAGTCATCTGCAAAATCCCCGAGTTTGTTTATATTGGCTCAAGTGTATCCCAGAGCTGAGCCAACATTTGGACAGTTTTCTCTGACTCCCCACTTGCCTTATGAATTCTGCCTCATGTTCTCTGAGCCAAAGGCTCGCACTCACCAAAGGGAGACTTTTGAGTCTTTCTTGCCACCAAGGTGGCTGGGACAAGAAGGACTGTTCTGGAAAAGCAGTCTTTGGGATCAAGGTTGGGCAAAGGCAAACTGTTGCTGTGGTCAGGCTGTCCCAGGGTGCTCTCCCTGAAGGGTGTTTTCTCCCTGAAGAGGAGCCCTTCTCAGTCTGGCTGCTGGGTGGGGGAACATGGAGAGGAGACAGGTGGCTTCTCGAGGCTTAGAGTCTGAACCTCTGGGAGGAGTGTCCTGAGGCCTCTACCCAAAGGGGCCAAGGAACAGGGCAGCCTACCTGGAGGCAGGGGGACCACCCAGAGGCCTTCGGAAAGCAGGGCAGAGAAGCCCGCAAAATCCTCTGGCTCCTTGGCTGGGCGTGGGTCCAGTCTGGGCTGGACTGCAGAGGGGTGTGCGATGGGGAGACAGCAGACTGAAGGGTGGGATGTGGGGCGGAGAGGGCAGGCCAGGGGCAGGCAACGTGCCCGGAGGCCGACTCCAGGGGAGGGAGGAGCCCTCGAGGCCTGGACCTCGGGCAGTGGAACAGCGGCAGCGCAAGGAACGCCCGGGGGACAGACGGTGAGAGGCGGCCGGGCAGCTCTAGGGGCGCAACTTAAGGCCTGTAACTGTTCGGGAGCTTCTGCCTTTTCACCTGGGCCTCAGTCCCTGCGTCTGTGGGTTTCTGGTCCTGTGACTGTGGCGGCACAGCCTCTCCGGGGTCCCACCCCTCTGGCAACCCCAACTCCTGGAGCGGGTGGTCAGCAGAGGGGAGGGAGAGGGCGGCGAGAAGGCAGAAGGCGAAGGGGAAGGCCCGCAGTAGGCGCTGCAGGTACAGGGCTAGGGCTGGGGGAAGCGGGCTGCCCCGGCGCCCGGAGGGTTAAGTGTCCTCACAGCCCCTCCCCGTGTTTACTAGTCCCCCAAGGGCTCCAGCCTGGCTGGCTCCCCAGGGTTGGCTTCACCCGAACCCCACCCCGGCCCTTCCCGCGGTCTGCCGGGACCTCCTGGGGGAGGGGGACTGGAACCCAGGTGGCCATAGGCGGCCCGGGACTTGCGGCCGGGGTGGGACCCAGAGGGCCAACCTGCCGCTGCGGAGGAGCGTGAGCCCGGAGAGACGCGCGGGAGACGGCCACAGGGTCTGTGGCTGGACCCAGAAGGGGGCCCCGCTGCGACTCTGTGGAAAGGACTTGCCCCAGTTGCCCCACCACTGTCCGCTCTGCCCGGGGCGGAAATGGCCCTGCAGGGCTAAGGATGCACCCCCGCTTTGCAGGGCCCAGCCATGAGGCGCCTGCTGATCGCGCTCGCCCTGTGCCTGTGCGCGGTGGGCCCCGCCGACGGCGCCGAGCTCTCGGCGGCCCAGCGTCGGGGGCTGGAGGTGGCCCTGGCCGAGTTTCACCAGCACCCGCCTGTGCAGTGGGCCTTCAGGGAGACCAGCGTGGAGAGGGCGGCCGACACGGTAGCGCGACAGCCGGCAAGAGGGCACGTGTGGGGTTAGGGCCTCACCCTTGGAGATGAGGACGGTCTTGGGCGGCGGGTGCATGTGCCAAGGGCTTGGGACTCTAGGGAGATGTGCAGCTTCACCGCGGAGGCAGTGCAGCCCTGCGCATGTGTGGCCTTGACCACCCAGCTGGCTGTTGCTGGCCTTCCGGTTGGTCTTTTCGCAGCCATTCCCAGCGGGGATCTTTGTGAGGTTGGAATTTAAGCTCCAGCAGACGAACTGCCGGAAGAAGGACTGGAAGAAGCCTGAGTGCAAAGTCAAGCCCAATGGGGTGAGGGGACAGTGTGTCTGTCTGTGCATGTGTGCAAATGCACATACATGTGTCCCTTGCTGTGAATCTGCGAGTACCTGTGTGCATGCACGTGTCTGGGTGTGCATGAGTACATGGGTGTGTGCAGGAGTGTACGTGTGTGCGTTTGTGTGCATGTGAGCGTGTGAGGTGATCGTTCCTCACCTGAGGTAGTGTGACTGAGCTTACTCACTGGAGGAGCCCCTGGAAACTGCTCAGACTGGGCTGTGGCCTGTGGAGGCAGGAGGGAGAGTTGGGTGGCCCCAAGGAGCTATCTTGCCAGCGCTGGGGCTCCCACTTCCATGACAGTTGTTGGAAGAAGCCCAAGGTGTGGGCTTGGTCTGGACACCAGCCCAGGCCTGGTGAATTCCGTTTCCTGTGATGTTCAGGTAGGGACGTCCAGCAGGTTGCTATAGGGAGACCCGGGCTGGAGTCTCACGGTGGCCTGGGATCGAGCACCAGCCCTGCAGTTTTGCAGGCTCTTCTAAGTCCTGTTCACACATCTGCTGACGGAGGGGACTGGATTAGCCCCTGAGCCCTTTAGTTCAACTCATATTTGACAAGAAAATGCAAACAGGTGAGAGCAGAGTTGATCTGGTGGAAGTCGTGAGGATTTGGGCTGTTACTCGTGCACACCTGGACACACACTCACCCCATACTCTAAAACTGAAGTGTAAAAACTGCAGGGTCACTTGACTTCTGCAATCTGCCTGGGAGGCTGCATCAGAAACTGGCCGGCAAGACCACCAGTCCCTCAGGGCCTGCTGGGGCAGCGGTGCACCTCTGGTGCTTGCAGCCACCTTCATGGGGGCAGTCAGCCTGTCTCTACCCTGGGGTGCCCAGGCTCTGCTTCATGCCCTCATCTCTCCCATCTTCCCTCTTTAGCGGAAGCGTCAATGCCTGGCCTGCATCAAACTGGGCTCTGAGGACAGAGTTCTGGGTCGGATGGTCCACTGCCCCATCCAGACACAGGCTCCTCAGGTAAGAGCCTGCTGGGCTGGGTGGGAGGGCTAGTTAGAGGTTGGAGGGTCACAAAACTGACTGCAGCTGGGCCTGTGGGAGGGGTCTGGAAGCCCGACCCAGATACCCGCTAGCAGTGTGGGAGGGGCTGCAGAGGAGGCTGGTACCCACACCTGAACGCTCTGCTGTGGCCCAGGAGCCCAAGGAACGCCAAGAGGACCAGTGCTCCCGGGTGGAGCGGGCAGGCGAGGACCCCCACAGCTACTACTTCCCAGGGCAGTTCGCTTTCTTCAAGGCCCTGCCCCCTGAATGAGCTCTGGACGGGTAGGAGTGGGGACAAAGTCAGCAATGGGCCTGAGGTTTGGGATGGAAGAGGCTGGGGGAGGAGACAAGAAAGTTGGGGCTGCCACATAGCCTCCCCACACTCCAATGTTTCTTTTCCTCCAGAAATCAGCACCCCCATTTCCCAGAGGAACGTGGGAGGTCCCCTGTGAGCAGAGCCTCCTCCCTGCACCCAGGCTAATAAAACGTGTGTCCTCCAGCTGTGCCCTCCCGCCTTGCTCTCTCTCCTGGGGCTGAGGAAGGGCCCCAAGGGCACCTTCTCTCTGTAAGGAGACAGGGGCCTGAGGGAGTCCCCCCAGAAAGCAGAGGGGTGGGCCTGGCCCCATGGTGTCTCTGGACTCCTTTCTGCAGGAAATGGCACTGGTGACACAACAGAGCAGAAATAAGGATTTAATAGGGGTTGGTGCGGGTGGCAGATGCCACGTAGGGTGGCCACAGCAAGTCTGGAAGGTGGAATGTTCCCCTCCCTCCCAGGGACGGTGGGCCCTGAGAAGCACTAACACTCACGCCCACTCTGCAGCAGGAGCCCAGGCTCTGCAGGGGCCGAGGAAGGTAGGGCCCACTCCACAGGTGCTGCTGGGGCCTGGCAGGAGCAGGCTGCCGGGGCACAGGGGAGGGGCTCCTCCAAGAACAGAGAGGCAGAGTGCTCAGAACACAAAGGAGGAGGGGGCTGCTGCCGGGCCCAGTGCCTGCTGGGCCTGGGCCAGGCTGTCATCGGCCTGGCGGTCCAGGTCCCGGCACTCCTGCAGTGTGGCCTGGAACTGGCGGCAGGCTTCCTCCAGGATGGAGCTGCTCCGTGCTGGCCAGCACTCCCAGTAGCCGGGCTCCACCCATGGCTGGGCCGCAGGGGCCTGAGGGCCTGGACTGGGCCGCAGGGAGCTGTCCAGGTCTCGGTACAGCTGGTAGAGCTCACTACCAAAGCCCGTCACTCGCTCCCCATCGATGACCTTCAGGCCCGGCAGCAGCTCTCGGACCACAGCCCGGTAGGAGGGGCTGGCACACAGGGGATTGCTGAGCCGGGCCAGGGGGTCCCGGAGCCGCAGGTTCTCGAGGCCCCGAAGCCCTGAGAGACACTGCAGCTGCCCCGGACCGGCCAGCAGGTTGCCCGCAGCGTTGAGGCTCTGCAGATTCTCACAGGCGGCCAGTGGTTCCAGCCCCGTCAGCCGGTTGTGGGAGACATTGAGCACAGCCAGCTGGCGCAGCGCGGCCAGCGGGCCCAGGTGGGTGAGCGCGTTGCCTGACAGGTCCAGCCACTCCAGGCTCAAGCACTCCCCCAGGCAGCCCAGGTCCACTAGCCCCAGGCAGGGCAGCTTCAGCAACAGGATAGAGTCCAGGGCAAATTCACCCGTGCGTGCCTTCAGCAGCTGGGCCGTGACACGGCTCCCATCACCCTCACCTGGCTTCTTGCCCTGAGGCTCCATGAGATGGTCAGCTCAAGCGGCCTGGGCCCTGCAGAGCCCGTCACAGAGTGGGATGCCACTGGGCTGGCTGGCGTTCACCCCAAAAAGGACGCCAGGCATGCCACCTGCCCGTGCAGGAAGCTGCTGCAGACAGATGTCCACTCAGAGCCAGCAGGTCCCTAGGGAGAGACAATTGCACACTTGATCTCGGGTCCTAGCAGGTGGTGGCATGAAGCGATTATCTTTACTTCCAAAGCCGAAGGGCCAGGACAGATTTGAAGAGCAAGGTCAAGGGCGGAAGGAGGTAGATCCAGGTGGTGGGCGGGACACAGACCTTGGCCACAGGGGAAGGGCCTCAACTGACCCAATGTTCCCAGCTCTTCCCACTTTTCACATCTGGGCTTGGGGCTAAATCTTAAACTACTTTTTTTATAACACTCATGATTCATCCTTATTAATTTTAAAAGTTTGCATTTATGTTTTGTTAGGATAATAGGTGGTTTCCTTTGTCTCCCTGCTGGGACAGTGTGGCAAGTACAAATGCCAACAGACACAGCTTCTGTCTCAAAAACGTCCTCCCAACTATTTCATCAATTAGCCATGACTCAAAACCATCCCAGACAATGTGGAACAAAACTCAAAATCATATATATATAATATATATAAAGGGGACCAGATTTGCTGGTCTGACAGAGCCTGGTGGAACCACTGAGACTATGGCCCCTAGCTACCCTTCAGGTCTGGAACTGAACCCACTTTTGTGGCTTCCAGCCAAACAAGACAGGCACATGAGGTGAACATTTACATTAGGTAGGTACACTCCTTGAAGAGATCAATCATGGGAGAATAGAAGGGCTGTGTGTGCACAGGGAGACAGCTTGGAGGAGCAGCAGTTTATGGGAGGGAAGGACACAGGGAAGAGGTAACTA